AAGAGACAGGTATATGCCATGTTCAGGAGAGGCAAATATAAGGAAAAAAACTTTCGTTTGAATTTATATTATAAATACGTAAAGGCAAACTGTTAATTCTGAGGAGTTATTGTAACTCCCCCTGTGTGGTAGTTATAACCCCCAAAGGGGGAGTTATTTTTTATGAGTTATTTTAAATCCTTAAATGGTATTAAAGTAACTCCTTAGGGGAGTAAACCTTAATTTTACTCTCATTTCACTCCAAAATTATACAAGGTTATAATGTTGGAGTAATTTTTACTCCAGTATTTGGGTTGCTGGAGTTAAATTAACTTCATGTTTAGAGTAAAACAAGCAGAGATAAAATAACCCATCCACAGAGAGTCAAATTGATCCTATCGCATGAATTATAGCAGAGTTAAATTAACCCATCCACAGAGAGCGAAGTTATCCTATCGCAATGCATAATGGCAGAGTTAAAATAACCCATCTACACAGAGTTAAATTGATCCTATCACAAAGCATTATGGGAGAGCCCGCGTTATTCGAGGAAAAGAGTTAGTGTCGCCATTTCTGTGTCTCGATGAAAAGTTTAATTGATTTTTTTCGTTTTTTTATTGGAATGTGTTTGAAGGTATGTACAAAATAGTATTCTTCTGAATATTCACGTTAAATTATTTTACTCTGATCAGGGAGTTGTTAGGGGCAACATTCTGTGTAGAAAGGGGCCTGGCCTAGGCCCTATGCCAGACTGTTGTAGTAGTACCGTAGTATAGTTAGTACATGGAGGTATTATTGAGAAGGAGATCACTCGGCAACAGTTCCCTTTGACGCGACAAACCCACGTGTTCCCCGCTTTTGCATCGCGCGCGGGCGTATTACCCTATAATTCACATTTTTTCGTTAGCAACAACTTGGCAACGACATGCATTTATACGCTTCCAGCAGAGCAGTTGTGCAATAAAGAGTTTGATTTTAACCCATTAATTATCTTTATAATGAACAGTGTTCCACTGATTAGATTTTTTCGGACTGTTGGTATGTTATTATTTGTATATTTCAGGAACGGATTCCGTAAAATATTTATGTTCAAAAATTACTCCTGTGTTCATTATAATTTTGTCTAAAGATTGATTAGTTCGACTATAAAGCTAAGTCAGCGTAAAACTGAAAAATACTCAGATTTTGGATTGATTTTTCGAATAGTTAACCCTCGTTAACCCTAAAATTACTTAGTTTATGATAATCATCAATCATTTTATTAATTAATATTTGTTAAAATTAGAATTGGCGAATTTTGGCCAATTTATGGAAATCGAAGTTGAAATATACTATACTTTTAAAGGTCATGTAAATGTTCCATTAAATTCGAAACTTTATTTGGTGGAAAATATTAATATGTTTTATATTTTATGAGAGATAAAGGTATCAGCTTCAAAGTGGAAACGATTGCGCAGCCATAGTGATTGACTGTATGTAGTGCGCATCGAGAAAAGAATATGCTCTCCATTTCGCCATGTTCAATATTTTGGTAAACTATGCCTGCTGAAAATTTGATGGCGGGGAACACATGGGACTTCAAAGGCATCGCGCAAACGTTCTTCACGCGCTGCGGCAGCTTTGATCTTGGTTCATTTGCATAGCGCTGCGTGCGCGTAGCTTTTTCGAGTGATCTTCTCAATAATACCTCCATGGTTAGTAGTAGGCATTTTTCGTTTTAACTACGCGGCCAATCTACTACGCACTAATGGGGCGTGACGGCAACGCCAAGATACTGTTCGCGTACTCCTCCAAAAGTTGTTTTCGTTTTTAGGTGGCGCCTACGGCACGACGACGCCAGAGCAGACGTACGTACGACCATGGCAAACCTTCATAGAACTGTTGATAATCTTGCCTTATGCTACTCATTGGATGTACGATTTAGAATTCATGTTGCTGTCTGAAATTAACAGACCGACAAACGCAGACCTTGAATGGTGGAAGTACGACAAGTTTAAGCTGGAAACATTAAGTAACGATGAATGTAATGCTTACTTCAGGTAGGTGGCCTAGGCCTAGGCCCTAGTATAGCTACAGACGCAGACCCCCGCCCATATAGAATGGGCCTTAGGCCTAGGTATTTAAAGTATATTTATTCCTAGCTACGTACCGCATCACGCTTGCTCACAGCTAGGGACTTTGTTGTTTGACTAGGCATAGCCTAGGCCTAGAGGTCTACTCTAATTAGGTCCCAAAATTTTGTATTTGTATAGCATAGGCCCTAGCCTAGTTAGTAAGCCTAGTTGTAATTTGCAATGTTATCATCCTGGGGGTGGGCGCCTGCCCGGTTGTAGGTGGCCACCATTACTTGTACGATGGGACCCTTTCTAGGTGACCACTTTTGGGGTATGTAAATGTTGAAAGTCATACGTTTCCCAAGAAAATAAATCATGAAAATTTTAATGATGTTAGTTTTCAACTTGCTTAGTCATTGCATTGTTTTTATTTTTTAAGTTCAAATTACAGCCTTTTTTATTTTTATTTCAGGTTCTTCAAAGAGGATATTCACCATTTGAAAGATGTGTTTCACATTCCAGATCAAGTTAAATGTAGAAACAACTCGAAAATTGAAGGAATTGAAGCACTCTGTATAATGTTGCAACGATATGCATATCCTTGCCGATATGTTGACATAATTAAAACTTTTGCTAGGCCCGTACCCCAGCTTTGTTTAATAACTGGTCAGATGACAAACCACATATACAATATGTTTGGTAGACTTCTAACAGACCTAGATCAACCATGGCTTTCACCAGTCAATCTTGAAAAGTATGCCCAAGCAGTGTTTGAAAAAGGAGCTCCCCTTAAAAAAAGGGGGGGGGGGTGCGGGGATGAAACGATTAATTTTTAATTTAAAATAGAGGGATGGGCGACCACAACGACGGTGACGGCACTCGATTTTGGAGCGCGGTATTCGAAAACGAGGCTCGTGAACTGGGTCCCAAAAAAAACAAAAAAAAACTGGTGCTACAGGATTTTGAGATAAGATAGGGAATTTCCTAAAATGTACCGACTTTCAAAGGCTTGCATTCGGTAACCCCATAAAAAATCGTGTCAAACTTTAGATATTCCAATGTAAATTTGGCCGTTCTTTTCATTTATATGGGTTTTCACTTATGAAAATGTCTCAATTATGTGTAAAACAACGATTTGCCCCAGTTTTTATTTCGGAAATTTGCACTAGACAGGGAGTCAGCTGATTCACTCAACCGTAACGAGCTGGTAATGACATTAGCCAACTGATGAGAATGGTCGTCGCGAGCGGAAAATGGAAAAATTAAGACTGGCGAAAATATTCAATAATAATAATAAAATAAGTCGAAGGCATTTTTGAAGAATGAATCTTTCAAAAAGATATGTTTGCTGGTTTGGATAAGGAAGTCTTGGAAGTGGTGATCTTAATAGTGGCGTTAAGTAGGTTTGTTTAATACCTTGTCTTACCTGTGTAGACATAGCCTAGCATTTAGTGCAGTACTGTATGTATACGGAGAATACGGAATACTACTACTACTGTCTGGCGTGACCTAGGCCCCTAATTTAGGCCTAGGCATACAAACTATAATAATAATATTTCAAACATTAGACAAACAAACAACACTATTTTAAATAAAGTGCAATAATTTACATGTTCATTATTAGATCCATGGAACTATCTAGGACCTACTACTACTACAGCATTATTACTAAAATGCCAGTTTATTCGTCGTGGAATGTGGATGATACCTTGAAAGCTAGCTCAAATTTGCGAGGAAAATGGCTTGCAAAAATGTGCACAGAACTTAAATTCTGCATGATACATTCACAATGGTTATATACAGTATTCAGATTAGTTCAAAGACTAATTTTCGGCATTCTTCTCGGAAATATAACCACCCCGCCTTAGGCGTGGCCCTGCTGGTTGCATGCTGGATAAAAACTAGTAGAGGGTCAAATGTCCAGCCATTTTGATGGTCAAAATACAGGGGAATTATTATTACTGTACATTAGAAAAGATTGAGAAACAAGATAGTCTATTATACATATATTGTTATTGTCTTGATTTGTAATTTTTAAACTAATTTTTATTTTTATATTACAAAAAAGTATTAATGAAATAATAAATTCTATTCAAAATAATTGTTTAGGTCATGGCTATGTTACAACAATTTGCAATGCATTTGAATATGGGCACTTTTCACAGTGATGGTTAATTAGAAGATATATATTTTCAACAAAAATTATCATTGATGATTAGTGCCAGAATGATTAATTCCTTATAAAGATATTGTAATATCAATAAACACGTTATATCGTTATTGCGGATATGCCTTAAAACTAAAAGAAACGGCATACTTTTGGTGTCCGTACTGAGCCCAAAAAATCCGCAATGAAAATATAACATGTTAATACTAATTATTTTGGAATGGTGTAAGAATAGTCACTCTGATTTTTTTTTAACTAGTCTGTTCAAACTTTTTATTGTACTTCTCTTCTTACAGGAAATGCCGACATGTTGGTTATCAATGGCTTTCATTTGGTAGGTGTTTAACAGGCTAAAGAAATCTGACAGAAGGGTCATCCCATCTTGCACTGTGTGGGCGATTAGGGACAAGTTCCCAGAGGCTGTGAAGACTGCCCTGGGTTTTTTGATGCTATAGAATATGATGAGATAAACTTTGTGTTGGAAGAATTATTTATAAATTGTTATGGAAGATACCTGATAAGTCCCATCCTCATTAATGCAACAGATCTTATGTAAATAGATTCATTCTTGACAATTCATGTGGCAACTGTGCTCTGATTTTAGTTCCTATGCATGTAATGCAATAGGAACTATTGTAATCACTCTTGCTATTTCCTATGTTTTTTATTGTGTGTAGTGTGTATGTGTAGACATTTATGCAAATGCGCATGCGTCAAAGAAAAGTTTTCCGACATTTTGTTTTACATCTCAATGCGAAGATCGATGTGAAGTTTCTGCAGAGTTCAGTCAGGGCTCACGCTAACCGACCGGAAT